CTTTACAACATAACATTCATTAGTTATAATTTTAATTCGATCAAAGATTTTCTTGCAGTGACTGTTCAGTATTTTTTCAGTTACTATCGGCTGGAGTTGACGAAGAAATACTAGTAGAGAACGTAAACGGCAAGCTAATCGTGACGATAAATCGACCAAGGATTCTAAATGCATTGAATATAAATATGGTGCGCAAATTATATTCGATACTAAAGGTTTGTTGAAGCATTTGTTTAAAACTTAGCTTGAGGTCTGCGTGCAGGTTCTAACTTTGCACTAATTTTGCTATGCTACTGTGACAGTCTAACAATATAACAGCAGAAAAGGGCACAGTGATTCCTGGTGTCGGAAGAAGCTGTGATGAAATCGATCCGACTTCCAACTTAACTCATTGGCGCATATTTGTGGAAGGAACAAATTTGTTGATTCTTGTCAAAGTCTTATCTACAGGTTCTGATGATGAAAGGCGTATGCTTTTATGGGATTTGTTTTCTATATTCAAAACGGTCATCACTGCCTCAACGCCTTTGGGACCTGCGACCCACGTGGATCGTCTTATGTACTCCAGAGTTTCAAGGTGCGGGAATTTGAGTTGAGCTGTTGAATAACCACTTATAAGTTCCATTCTTATAATCACGTTTGCTCTTATAATAGCAATGACATTGGCTAGGAGTCGATGTAATAAAAAATTTATCATTAGATGGCTTAGGACAGTAATCAACTTTTTTCAGAAATGCAACAGTGATCGAAATGTACCGTTTATATTTGTCAAAGGAGCAGGTGACAATGCATTTTGCGCTGGTGGCGATATTGTTGGTGACTGTAATTTTTGTTCTTAATGATGAGTGATATTTCACTTATTTCTATGATAATTTTGTTTTTTAAGCAATAGAAATAATTTTTTGTTGTATATATTTAAGTAATAGAAATAAATCTATATATCTTTTAATTCCAATTTGTAGCTGTGTTACGTTCTGCTCAAGCAAATGATCCATCAAACACAATACACAAAGATTTCTTTCGCGAAGAATACGTGATGAATCATTTGATTGGTGTTTTAAATGTACCATATATCGCCGTTATGGATGGTATCACAATGGGAGGAGTAAGTTCGTTATCTCCAATGAATTTTTCATTATCGGTATAATTGACTTTGTAAAATATTGCTTTAATGTATTTTTTTCATGTCGTTACATTTAGTTAGCTTAAGTTTTTTGATTGCGCCGATGAAAATTTTCCAATTTCATACCGTCATGAAATTGGAAATTTGTCGTCGGCGTGATCAAAATTTTTATTTTAATTTTCCAGTTTCATTGTCGGTATAATTGACTTTGTAAATCAGTTATACCGATAATAAAACTGGAAAATTAAAAAAAGTTAATTATAAACTTACATAATAACACCGAAAACAAATTTAATATTTGATGAATTTAGAGTTGATTTTCTGTCTAAATTAAATTGCTTCAAAATTATTCAAAAGTTAATTAAATTAATGAATTTTCACATAAGATAACAATAAAATATCCTATGTAAAAATTTAGTAATTTAATTAGCTTTTTAGAAAATATGGATTGCTTTAAAAATATCTATAACTAATAGATTTTTGTGAATTTGAAGGGTTGTGGTCTTTCTCTTCATGGAAAATACAGAATAGCAACAGAACGAACAATATTGGCAATGCCTGAAACTGCTATTGGTTTCTTCCCTGACGTTGGAGGTTATTATAATTTCTACAAATTTGATGAACTTTTTCCTCTGTTATATTTCTTTTTTTACTTTTAATCGGATGAGTAATATATTCGATGTTTTCAGGTACATTTTTCTTGTCACGATTACCATACAATTTGGGTCATTTTATGGCACTTACAGGATATCGAGTGGTAGGCGCCGATGTTTATCATATGGGGCTTGCAACTCACTTCGTAGGCTTTGTATTCAGATTTTGTTTTGTAACTACTATAATTTTGAAGCAATTTCATTTATTTGTTAATTAGATTTCATGTATAAACCTACATGACTTTCAAGCGGTAATAAATTTTTTTTACATTTCTTGAATTTTTTTTTACATTTCGTGAATTTTTTTTACATTTCTTTCATAAAATTGGGAATTTAATTCACATCAGTTTTTAGGTTCCGTCGGAAAAACTGAAGAATCTTGAAGATGAACTACTCAGGACAGATAATAAATTGTTTTCTGTAGAAAAAATAGACCAAATTTTGAATAAATACCACATGAAAGAAAGTGAGATACCCAAGTTCGGCCTTGAAAAACGACTTGCGCAAATTGATCATATATTTAGTGGTAGTACAATAGAATCAATTTTCAAAAAATTGCGAAACGGTGACGATTTTGGCAAGAAACAGTTCAGTATTCTTAGTAGGAAGGTATTATTTTTGAATGGCTTATTAAATGGTTTAAATTTAAGGAACAGTTGAATATTATTGATAGCACACTGATTAACAAAAAGATAATTATTTGCATTCATCAATGAATAATTCAGAGTCCAACATCATTGAAAGTAACTTTTCGGCAGTTGCAAATTGGTTTGAAGATGCAGTTTCGCGAAGTCTTTACAATGGAATATCGTCTCTCCCAACGTTTCATAAAAAATCATGATTTCCATGAGGGTTGCAGAGCAAGTACGTTTTATTTAGCTTTTTTATATAATTATGGCTGATCTTTGAAAAGGTTGAGATTTAAAAGTTCTTCAAGTTGTGATTTCTCCTGAATACATAAATTTTAGTTCTTATCGATAAGGATCAGAAACCGGAGTGGAAACCTGCTAGTATAGAAGAAGTCACAGATGAAATGATAGATGAATACTTTGCACCTCTTCAGGAGGATAAAGAACTGATTATTAAGGAATTAGAAATTTAAAATTTGATGAGCTTCAAAGTTTATTTTATTTTGCTTCTATAATTTACAAAACTATTATATTATTTTTTTCTTCTAACTTTTACTAACATGACATTCTTTCAATGTTTAGCCCAAATATGGTCGAGGGTTTGTACTTAAAATTGCAGTGACTTTAGAAGATTTCTATATTCTGTGCAATTTTGTATAGACTCTTCGTAGCTGGATTAGATGGCAATATTACCCAGATCCCTTTTAATTTTTACACTACTGACAGGATGGATTTCAAACTTGAACTATTTGTGATATGTTTGTCTAACTCATACAGGGCGAGACATCTTTAAAACGGTAATTGCCTTTTAATTAATGATTCGTCACGAATCCTGTTCACGGTGCTGTAAAATATGTATCAGTAATTCATAGTGTATTTGTGATGCGTATTTCTAATACTTCTTGTTAATCCATACCATTCATTATCTTTCATATCACGATAGTTAAGAATGCTGTTTTTATTGTTTTTCAGTAACTTCCAATTCTTAAAAACATCATTCTAATCTTCATTGGAATCTCAGAATGATGACGATTATGTTACACTTCGTCACAGACCAAATTTCCACCAAAAAATAAAGAGGCCTTTCTCTCAGAATCTGAGAAATACCTATTTTCATGCTGTTCATACCTCATCTTTGTAGCATTGCAACTTGTCGCAACTTTTATTTCAAGCTCTTCAGGATGTGTAAGAATGAACTAAGAAACCAGGAGATGCCATAATCAGATTGAAAAATTGTTATCTTTAAATTCTGCAACTAATAAAAGCAGCATATTATTTCTAGCTCCTATTTCTTCTATCGTAAGGTATAAAAATGCATAACTGCTATACTTTGCAACCCTTATACACTTTAAAATTTTCTGAGATTCATATTAACATTTCCGTTTAATCTTACGAAGATTTCGACCTGACGAAAATACCTTTTATACAATGGAGAAGTCAAACACAAAGAAGACGAAAGAAGAGCAAATAAATAAAATGCTACTTGAGGACATGTAAAGATTAATGCATAAATAGGGAACATAGTCAGTTCTAATAAATAAATAAGCGGATGAAGGCTTAAGAATTATGACATAGAGAAATCTGGAGGAAACACTCAAACAAGAAATGTTTCCTCAAGTTTTTCAAAGCTAAGAAAAATCAAATAAAACGCAGACGGAATAAAGGAATAGTGGAGTGGAAATTGGCCTTATGAGCAGTAAAAATCTGTGTGGACAAATGACCTGAGTTAAAATGCAAAGACATTCCTTATTACATAGAATTAATGCTCATTAATTGACTTCTACGACTTATGTAAATTTTCTGGGTGATCAGTCCATTGTCATCATAAAGACAATGGATTTCAAACCTTGATGCTTATTTGCTAAACATAGAACAGATAAAAATAAATCGTACTATTTTATATTGGCCAAATATTTCTCTAAATTTATTTCATAATCTTTTTTTTTGTATTTAGAATAATACATAAAATACTCACAAATAACGTGGAAATACCAACACTAAAAAAAACAAATGTCTTTACAAAAGATTGACTATCAGCGACGAGAATCTGTGATGAAAACGCACCGCGATTATGTCAGTTACTGGGAAAAAACTCTAAAAAACGAAAACAAAAAGTGCAAAAAGATGCAAAAAGAATCAACAAATACAATACAAACACATGAGTAAGGAAAAACAGATCAGGGTTTTACAATGAAGAACTAGAAGGATTGTTCTGCCTTCGTCATTTTTATAACGCAATCAATTACAGTGTTTGAACAAAAGAGTTTAAAGGAAGAAAACATCTGTGATCAAAAATAAATACCGCAAATTAAATTATTCTTTTAAAAATTTAGCTTAAGGAATTATGAAAACCATATAAAATCCCGCATAGTTATCAACTGCATGAGACATTTACCGTAAGCAAAGGAAGATTTTATACACAGCGATATGTGATTAATACTTACATTTCATAAAGATTTTTTGGTACTCGATTAATGAAAAAATGTAAGCTAATATAAAGCAGTATCACATGCGAATAAAAATTATTTTAATCTGTGGTAATTACTATTTAATCTCCACATAACATTGAGGTTTAAGAGGCGAAAAAAAATAGCTTGAGCTTCTTTGATAACCGGTATCATTAGCTCACGGAATTCTCATCAGTCGACTTCGTCTTATCCAAATGAACGATGATTTCTCGTGAGGGTTTCTCGTTGTCGGCAAATTCCTGCTCGCTCGTTACCACAATATTCAATTTACTAACACTATCCTGTGGTAGCGCGAGTAGGTCCTGAAATCGTCAAGAAAAATAAACACAGCAAGTATTGGCAAAGAAGGAAGTGGAGCGGCTCAGCATGTCCTTCTAGAAAGGTAAACGTATTTATCAAAACTTGACTGAATATTACATATTCTAAAACATGGTTCACTGTCTCAATCGCGCATCAATACTTCGATGTTCCTCAGAGTGAGATCAATACTCATTAGTGAAGTGCCGATTGATAATGCATGGAAAGAACATTAAATCGCGAAAAGCCAAGATAATGAGATATGAAGATTCTAATGAATTTGACAGTAGATTTTTTATGCAGTTCAAAAAAAAGAACTTATAAACGCATTAGGAATCATAGCTGTTACCTCATTGGGTTCAGTTGCGACAGGTGATGGCTGTGGAGTGACATACGTATCACTGTCTACACTGGTTGCATCACCAGCTGTAGATTCAACAGGCTTTCGTGAACAACGTGCTATATATGCTTCTGGTGTGTCCTCTTGTAACAAACAAACCAAAACTGCTGTCATATTATCACAACCAAGGCCTCCCATTTGACAATCTGGTGCTAAACATCTTGAAAGAAGTTCTTCACAAACCTAAAAGTTATGAGGGAGTTGATTAAATCTTGGTGGGCAATTAATATGAAACGACTAATTGAGGAAAATACAAGCCATTTAGAGTTTTGCAAGGCTTACAAATAGTCTAAAGGCAATCAGTCTCTAAATGGATGCAAGCGATGCTTTTTTCCAATTAACAGAAAAAAACGACTACTCATTCGTTAAAGAATTGGATGAAAAAAATAAGACCTTAATTGGAGCAAACAAGATATCAGATTTATAAGCACAAATGAAATCAAGACCATTTTTGACATAAAAAAAATCAAGGACCATTTTTGACTTCTTTCTTAATGCTAATAAGGCAAAGTGAAAAAATATTTCAAAATAGTTTATAACCAACTTCAAACGACACACGTTTTTCAGCTGCAACTGATATGCAAAGTAGAAATATTATAGGAATTAGAAATTATGAAATATAACAAACATAAAGTAACAAAGTCGCCAATGCTGTTCCATTAAAAACATGTAACCTAATCAGTACGCCTCATTAAATGGATAACCTTAGCCCATATTATCTGCTATGCACAATGAAGTTTTTAGCAACAACAATATTTCTCGATAAGATTTCAATAATCATGTAGAGGTATTCAATAAATCGCAGTGTGCTTGGAAATTTGACTCACAGTTAAGATATACCAAAACCAATCCAAAAAATAGTATTTAATGAAGTAACAGCAAGGATAAATGAATTAACAATTTTTAATTCTCAAAATAAAATCAGATCAAAAAAATAAAACATTTCTTATGTAAATTATTCAGTGGATTTTTTTGACATTATGGGATTATTTTCCGTTAGCACACTATTTCCTAAATGAAATGTTGAAATTTCTCTTGTCGATTGAAATCTCTTTTCCCACAAATATAGCTAAGTTTGGCCGAGGATAGAATTTATTTTTATAAATTCTATTTTTATAAAAAAGCGCATAAAATTTTCGAAAGTAATCAATAAAATAAGTTGCTTTTTTATAAAAACTGAATTAAGTTTATTGTAGCAGAAGAGATTTTTCCCAAAAAAATCGAAGTCAATGAATCTCAAACTTAACCAAATTACATTGAACTGTTCAATACTTCATCCTCTCTACAAAGAGGAATGATGATGGAATAAAATGATTCTGCATGAGGACGTATTGAATGATTTTAATTCGAGAATCAGAAAAAAGCTTCTACTCCAAAATATAAAATTAAAATAAGAAAAATGGGAATGGAACATAACTGGAAAAAATCACAATAGTTGAGAAAGGAAAAAAGAGAAAATGAAGCAGGAAGAAGTTATGAATGAAAAAAACTCTGGAAATAATTTTCTCATGTAGTAGAATAGTATGAAAGTTCTGTATTTTAAAATTTTTTATGTGAATAGCAAGAACAAAAAAACAATGACTTACTGCTTCAGGCTCACAACCGGCAGCCAATCTATCTCTGCAAAACTCCACAACTTCTTGGTTTGACATAACATCCCAAATCCCATCACAGGCCAATATAATGAATTCATGGTCATATGTCAAATCGCACACCGTGACATCGGGACATGCTTAAAACAATAACTTTTAGGAAAAAAGTATGAGCACTTTCCAAAATCAACTTGAAAACAAATGGAGAAATTTTTGCTTTCAGTCCATTGAACCATTCTTCAAAAAAAGCTCTGTTAGGAAAAAACATTCAATCGCAATAGAAGAAATTAAAAAGATTCTAATATTAAAATCAAATCAAGTTACTGTACAAAAATATAATGACCTTACCGGTCACAATTTGCTCTTCCGCCGATTTATGATCATTTTTTTTAAATGCAAAATCACCCAAAGCACGAGATAGTGCCAAATTACCATTTACGCGATTGAATTCAATCCAACCTCCAGCAGCAACGATTCGCCTTGTCTCATTCTCATTAGCTGGCTTGTGGTCAAAACTTAATGGATATGCAGCACCACTGACGCATGCCACTGCCCTTGAGTCGCCCACATTGCCTGTAATTTTACGCTCTTTTTACTTTCTAAAAATGAAATATTAAAACGCTATATTACTATTTCTCTTTTTAATGCAAAGTTTATAAAACAAAAAAAAAATTGCAAAAGTTGATGGCGACTAAAAAAATGAAAACAAATACTAACAAAACATGTGATATTAATTGTAATTCTAATTGACCAACCACAATAAATTTTTCTGTTTTTAATCAGAACAACTACGGCAGTTGTACCCGACATATCATCTCGCATTTCATCGTCGTTTTTCATTTTCTCATCCAGAGCCAAAAAACCTTGCTTGATCGCTTCTTCTATGTTACCCTCTACTGCAATTTATTCAAATTGTAATATTATTATACCTATGTAAAAAAAGCACATAAGAAAACCAATTCAAAGTATTGGTATATCTTTTTATCAGTTTCACATTCTAAAATGATTTGGAGTATCAGAAAAAGATAAACGAAGATTTGAATCAGAATGAGGAATTTATAATTTTAGTAAGTATTGGATACTGGAGTCACGATAATTAAATGAAACAATGAAACTGACTATAATGTGGGTTAGTAGCTATAAGTTTATGAAGGTGAATGCCGGCATACTGTGATACTTTGGCACCACCATGACCATCGTAAACTGCAAAAAATGCTGCTTGCATATCATCTGGCACGGCTAGCAGATGAATATGAGCATCTTCCATATCTGCAACATTTGATCTTCCGCCAAACTTAATTTTAAAGGATATGGTAAAGGGAATTGCAAGATAAAGTAACATTTCCATTAATTTCGAAATTCAGAGAGAAACTTACTGATTCTCCATCCCTGCATGCACGAACTACCTATTTTATAGAACATATTAGCGCAAGAGGCAGTTTCCTTCGTTGTTACGGGCTCACTCAATGTCTGGCCCATTATTATACCTGCAAATATTTAACCGGTTTAAATTAATATGGCCATAAAAGATCATAGCCACGAAGTCAGAAACATTCACCTATCTTCGTATTTTAAATCATCATCCTAATAATAGATCGAATTTGAATAGGTCGTAACAGGGCATTGCTTATTAGGTTTTTTCACATTCTCTCCTTGACTTTATTTGTACAAGCAGCACTGCACATTCTATATAACCAATAAAAAATTTTACTTGTGATCTAACTAAATCACTAGTTAGGACAATACCTCTTTTTGATTAACGAAAATCAGAAAATTTATTGAGAAATATGGCATGTTTCCATAAGAATAGGGAAAAATTTACAAAGTTGTCCAGATGAGATGTATATTGGATTTTGAAATCAAATTACTACGAAGTCCCACGGCTTCCTAAAAACAAATTTAAACCATTTCCCTTTAACTAACAAGAATAGTCAGTAAAAAGTTATTGTAAATGCTGTTAAAATTTTTGAATAAATTCGGAAATTTTTTTATATTTTCAGTTTAAAACAAAAAGAAAAATTTCTCAGAACATATGTATATCCAGCATACCAATTTATCGGCTATGATAATAGTTAAAGTTCAATAATCAAGACAAGTTGGAGGCGCGCAATGAGTATTTACAACTGCAATAGAGCGCTAATTCGGAATAAGATTTCTACAACACAAAATAAGAAAGCTAGCAATAAGGGAAAGAGCACACTCAGTAGTATCACTATGTAGCTGACTTTCATCGAACGACGAGCTCAATTGAAGTTTATTGTAATCCTACTATGCAATCAGTTATAGATCAGTTCATTTGAAAACTTCAAATCGAGTGATCGACACCCCAAACAGGAAGCCTCGGTCTCTATTACCATTAAATGGCATCATCCAATGTTCAAAAACCCAGGACACATCATCGTGACGAATAACCTTCTGAGCAGATACCAAGACAGCTCCAATGCAATGATAACATATCACTAGCAATTGACCAATCATATGATCGAAAGTATAGAACGCATTTCGATTAAAATCTTACTTCGTTATTATAGAAACAAATATGAGTCCTTCTCAAAGACTTCTCAATTTCGACGAGGTGATGGCAGCATTAATCCGTCTTTGTTTTCCATATCTTAGTTTTGAAGAAAACCGCCATGAAATTCTCAGAAACAACTATTCAAAAATACAGCGACTACTGGATTGAATCTATTGCCCCATGATGTTTTCAAAAATGCGTTCCCTCAGAGGTCAACTATAAAAGAATGCGAAGCAAAGTAACCAATTTATATTCATACACAAAAGCATGGATAGAAGTGACACATATAGCAGCTTTTATAGAAGCTCACTAGAAAGAATGTTTCATCATGCAATTCATAGTAATTCCTTTGAGAAAAAAATTCTATACGAATAATGAATATATTAGTCAACTTATGCATGAAATAAATTAATGAGATCTTTGGACAACGTAATAAGTTAGTGATAAACAAAAACAGATATATACTTCAGCTGAACATCTTGAAAACGCACGAAATGATTTTTTTAAAACAGAACATAACATTTTCATTTTTTTACAATTTAAATCAGTTAGAAGACAATATTCTAGCAAATCAAATCATTCACTTCATTGTGAAACAACATGCACTTTGCAAAATTTGTAAAATAGGATTTACAACAAAAAAAATTTTCTCAAAATGCCAAATGAAGTAGTCAATACTAAAAACAAAATTATATCAAATGTTGATAATTCCTGAGAAGTAATTTTTACTTTCCAATACTTGAAGAATGAGTCCCAGAACGTATAGTAGAATTACTTCGCGTACGAACAACGTTCACACGTAGTCCTTTTGTTGCTTCACCATTGTGTTGTTGTGTTGTACTGAATACAAATTCCACGTAAATAATAAAACAAAATCGAAGTGTACATATTAAATTATTGTAAATCACATATTCCATTTTAATTCCTAAATTATCAAACGCCACATTCCTGTTAATTTCTATATAGCACTTGAATAATTCTCTAATAAATATATGTAAAGCTTCCGCAAAATCATTTTTTCATCAAAATATTTTCTTTTATAAATCTCGTAATTTACCTCACTTGCTGAGCACGGGATCCAATTTTCTTCTCTTTTGGAACTTTCCCTAAAATCACAATTTATCTGGAAGGATTATGTAATACTAATAAACTACAAATACACAGCTGAAGAGACATAGAAACAATTTAGATGTGAACGAACCCTTAATATGTTTTGGAGTACTAAGACGAGTAAAGAAAGCGTCAATTTCAGCAGCAGTTTTTCGACGTTTTTCTCTCGCAGACGAATAAGCAGCCTTCATTGTTGGAGATGAGGATATGATGATAGGTTTGGTCTAAAAATGTAGCATTCAACAAATTTAAATAAGCTATTTATAAATGTTTCATCACGTCCACTTTTAAATTTTGTGAATAAAAAGCAGCACTAACATTTTTTACTGAACTGAATTTATCTTCATTAATTTTTAATTTATAGGTCAAGCCATACTTTGAGGATTAAAGGAGATAGTTTTGGTACTTTTCGTGTCACTCCCGTGCCAGCTGAAAATTGAAAACTACGCATTAAAAACATTAATCATCGTCAATTTATAAAAACCATCAAGGAGCTGAAAATCGAAACGGCCATAACTATGAATTAGTTGCCGACTGTAACGATCGATCCCGCGCGTTTGATGAGCAATAAAAAAACTGTATGTTTAGGAACTTGCCGTTTGAAGAAATACGTTCCATAGAATCACCTCCTCTTGCACATTTTGTAACTGCCATGCGGAACTGCTGCTCACTTTCAAGCGGTGGTAAACAATCTGAAATATTTAACTACAAAAGAGTTGAACAAGATATATTCAATGTCAATTTGTACTGAAAATATTCGATCATATCATCTAAAGTGCATTTCTGGTCCGCTGTATAACCAAACACTGCACAAAATAACAAACAAGAAAACTATCTAGAAAAAAAAACAAATACCAATTACCATTAAAATTATGTATACGAAGTGGATCACATTTACGAATTCGGTTTCGTGGCTGATGTTTTACCAAGGATAAATTCACCTAAAAAATTAGGACTAACATAAGGTATAACAGAGACCTGCTATCGATATCAACATCATTTTGAAATACTGTGCATTTTAAATAAAAAAAGTTACCTTCGAAGCATCACAATTATCATTTTCGGTGTCATCTTCCATGGTTTTTAAAATATTTTTAGACGCTGCAGAGGATGATGGTTCATTTCTTTCACTATTTTCTCCAGATGAAATTTCCTTGTACCCATTTCGAATATTCGAAGGATTTTGATTAATTAGTAAGTAATCATGAATATCCATATTACAAGAGAAATATGATCTCTTCAATTAACTGCAACTGACCAACAAATAATCAACATTTTATATAGAAGTAACTAAAATGAATTTCGGAACAATGGTTTTTTATGACTCTCTCGATGTTTTCAGAATAGCCATGAACTTGAAAGAAAGTGTAACATATTATATATATATGTACGATACACCAACGAGAAATAGTAAACCATAACAATTCAAAACAGAATTCCTACTCATTATCAATCAGTCAAAAAAAAGGAGGAAAAGGAGAGAGAGAGAGAGAGAGGAAGATTATGAGATGAATAAAAAAGTATTAGAAGGTAGCGAAAAGATGCAGAAAATGATTCACAAACGAAGTTGCCCTCTGACCGACCTTCCCTCCAAGCGATATCGAAATGAAAAAAACAAAGCGCAATATATTTTGGAAATGCCGCGAAATTTTTAAACCATAAATCGTTGTCTCGATATGCAATGAATAATCTCGTCCCAGGGGATAGATGCAGTGGACACTTAGCAAATCCGATGGAAAACTTGGATTTCGCCGGACAGGTCTAAGTGGAGGGTTTTTTCTAGAATGATCGAATATAATTTTCAACAATAAACTGTCAGCTTCTTGTCTATTCTAAAACAACTTCATCAGTATGTTTCACTTCTGCTTTATGTGCAAGCCACGATAACCAAAAGTTTATACTAAATATATCTAAATAATTAATATAATTTGTGTTATAGAAATATTTTTCATTCAATTAATTCATCGCATAAATTATAATTTAACCAATGTTACAATGTCTGATGAAATCAATCACTTAGCTGTGTTTCCGATATCACGCTTATTTTTTGGTTAAATTACCGGAAATCAATTTATATACAAATTTTATGTCTGGTAACAAATCTTATATCCAGTGATAATAATCTATTCAGCTTTCTCCTTACACAGCTCTTTTTCCTGTGTTCTCATATCTGTTCTCGTAATGTGCCTTGTAAATCATTCGAGGCATACGCAAGTTTACCCCGACACTGAGTGACACCTCTGCAGCCTACCTGCAGACATAAAAAGCAAACTGCGGTTTAAGACTTGTTCCTTTAATACCGAACGTGATATCTGGAAGCTATCCCCTGGTCTCAATTGATATTAAATCCGTCATCGATCAATAAAACTTTATTAAAATCAAAAACCACAACAGTCTATATCAGTTAACTTTGAATTATCTCATCCATTTTGCTTGTTAGTTATTTACAATGATTTAAAGAATCACTCATCTTTACCTATTTTTACATTTTTTTTTCATTGTGTTTAAATAAACTGTTTATCGAAGAGAATCCGATGATAAAAGTCGCAACGCGTGCTTCTTTTTCCCATTTCGGGAGATTTGCATTCTTGAAATCTATTCACATTTTACTTCATACTTACAGCGTAAACATTGCTCGAGTCTTACATGACTAACTTGTAAAGACTCGCATTTTCTTATTTATTGGGTAAGTAATCATACGCTTTCTTATCTACCGCTTTTAGATCAGCTCAGACATTCTGAAAGATGAGTCGAAGCACGGTTTATGTCTCTCTTCGTGTGCAGTAATTAAAGTGATCTGTTCATACTTCCAACTATCAGTGAAAGTTTGACTAAATCATCGATTAATCCCCAGCTAAAAGTTTTCACTACAGGAAATATGCTCATATGTTATACGACCATAACCAAATACTTAGCTACCTCCTGCCTTTCTTTCCCATGAACGAAGATGCAAAGCTTGTAAAAATCTGTTATAGCAGAATAAGTTATTAAAGAATGTAATCGAAATAAATAAAAGACTATTCCAACATTAATTATGCTGGCAGATGACAGATTAATTATTAGTCAATAATTTTGCATTAAATTATCATACTTCGAAATCTGTTTCCAGAACTGAGAACAATTTTTCAAAATATTTCTCTTTAAATTTTCACGCATGTGGATTTCAATTGGTAAAACTTGAAAGATTTTGCGGAGGCCAATCAAAGTTCGATGCAGAAACGACATAGGAATAAAATTTTCAAACATTACAAAATAAAAGTTTTAAGCATTAATCACACGCGCCAGCTTTTGTATACGATTCAACAGGATATCACCGTCTCTGGAAAGAAAAACCCGCACTTGAGGAATAACTTCCTTTTTAAAGTCCTATTCAAATTGAAATTTCATCGAATATCTATTGAATTAAACCAAATTCGGAAGTTTAAGCACTATATATACAAAAAATGTACAACGAAAGAGAAAGCATGACAAACCTGATAACGCTATGATAAAGGTGATTTTTAGTATCAGGATGATTCATTATTATGATTCCCCTGACAGCATCTATTCTGCAATACAGCTGACCAGTGGCAATCAGTCGATGTAACTCTTTGTCAATAAATTCTTTCGAAACACCGAAATCTTTTGCCATCATATCTAAACGCACCTAAAACAGACAAATCATTTATTGCACTGCAGCTTTCTTGAAGACATTTCAAAAAGTTTCAAGCAACAATAACTGCAGTTTAAAGACGAAGACAGTTCGACTGGCGTATAACTTTACCTTTATTATTATTTTGTACAACCTATTGAATGGTTCGAAAGAAATTGATGAGAATTCAACCTTACCGTTTTATACGGAGTGAGAAATTGTTCATACGCTTTAAGACGCATTGCTCTCGAATAAAAATTATAATGTGGTGCTAAATAACGATCAAATTTTAATCGTTCTCTTTCCAACTTCGCAAGTACGACAAATAGCTCATCATATCTGCACCCGTAAAAAGCCTCCAAATAATGCTTTACAGATACCAATTCATTGTTTTCACCACCACTAGTAAGCTAAATATAAAATTTATAAGAAAAAAACATCGAAGTTAAAATTTAATTGTGATATTTTCAAACACAATGATGAATTACGAAAAAAACTCTTGCCAACTAAAAAAGTGAACAATAAAAAATATTTAAGATAAAGAAAACTGACCTGCTCCTGGATCTCATTGCATCTGATAACTTTCGTGCGCAGATCAGGACGTTCTAATGCTGGAAAAATCTGACATGCTCATACTTCTATATTTGAAAAAATTTTTGCCAGTGACAAAGTGTGATTAATCACTTACCATAGACAGCCGAAATAACTGTATAGAATATAAGCTGTTCATAGGTCATAAGTTCGTATGAACCGAACGTTGGCACAGCTTCTAGAAAAAGTGCTGCAGCTCCTTTTAAATCTCTCACCGACATCTTATAAAGACCTTCGTAGGATCGAAGACGATTTTTTCGCTCCCAATCTCCACCCTAAATTACTCTGCTCATTAGATATTCAGCATTAGTGCACTCAGATTGTGTAGATCCCAGGCTACCCGACAATTTTTTGCAAAGATTTTAATAGAGAATTCATAACTTCGTAAGGAATTGTCTAAAACCTGCTCCATAAGATTTTTTGCTTTAGCAATATTTGCATTTATCAGTTGATGATCCAAAAAGAAAAGACCAAGTCGAATAAGATTGAAAATAAGATCAATCCTATAGCCAATGCCAACAGTTTTCTCATATGTTTGTCTAAATGATGCGACTGCTGCGTCTTTATCACCAATTTTACATAAATATTCGCTTTTGCGAAGATAAGCTTGTCGTACTTCACTTTCCCCTGCAAAAAATATGAAAATGTATTAAAATTAATGTTATTTGCGCACAACCTTCGTCTACTAAATATTTCCTACATACAATTTATTATATACCTAAGTTTTGCTCTGCATCTGCTATCTCATCGTCTATTTCTTTTAAACGCTTCTCATTTGCTCTCTTTAACTCGGTAAATAATGATTCGTCCATTGTTATCCCGATGTCGCCACAAACAAGTTTGTAATATGGTCCCATTTCATTTTTCTTGATCATCTGAAATTTAATATACAAACTTTTAAAATCCAATATATAAACAACGGTGCTATAAATATTTGCTACAGGAGGAACTAACTTCAATAAGTTCTTCCAATTTTTCTTTCTTTACATTCGAATCAATATCAGGATGTGACAGCAGAAAACGAAGCTGTGCAATATCCAAATTCGGTATTTTTGCAATCACCTGAAATTCATTAATGTTTGTATTCTTGAACAGGGTGGATCTACTGTCAGAAATGATTATTATAAAAGCAATGTAATGAATTGAAAAAACACAAAATAATTCCCTAGCTTAACAAATCATATAATTTTTGCAACTCACTTCCTTTTCAACATCATCGAGCAAATGCTGCTTTGTGGTGTCTGGAGCTTTTTCAATCATCTATAAAAAAGATGTTATAACAATTCAAAATTCATACATGTAACTGTAGAGCTAAATTTGTGAACCAAAACGTCCTTAACCAACTCAATTTATCAAAATCTTTGCGTGAGATAATGGACCACGACAATTCGTGTACGTATAAGATCTCGCATACGAACTATTTTTATTGCGACGTTTGAAAAGAAGACTTTATTGGTATTTGAAAAAAAAAGAATAAAAGAGATCGAAATTCATCGTCATGTGTTTAAGAATCATAAAATCACCAAACTGAAGTCAATATTTAAATACAACTGGCTTTTTTTAATGAACTGGAGACAATAGACAAGAATCAAATCCTGGACTGTTTTATAACATCTTAAAGAACCATATAATTCTTGTATATTCACGCCCTACCTATGAACAAAAAAAAACACCTTCCTGCTATTTCATAATCTCCAACACAAATTGTCACACCCAACAAATAGAAACACGGACTTATCAGGGAAAAATATTAAAACTTGCAGAGGTCTTTTTCTCTTACAATGAATTCCAGTCTTCATGGGGAGTAAAAACACTTCAACCAAATAATATGCAAGAATTTCAGAAAATAGAAAAAAATAGAAAGGTAAGTGAAAAGCCTACGGTTATACTTTTGAGAAAGTAAGATTTCGAAAGTATACAACTTTGGAATTTTAAAGTGATCGAATATACACACTTCATAATTAAATATTGACGACTTATGACAATTACATAGTATGAACGACAATTAATATACATAAAATTAAAACAGAAATACAGTAAATCAAAAGTCTAATGCATCACAACTGAGCTAAAATCTGTTCCATACTCTGTTCTAAACCATCTGCTGTTGTATTTTTCTGAGGTAACTTTTCAAATCACTTCCAAATTGTTTGGCTTCTTTCGCACGTAATTCCAATATTTTTTCCACTTTCATTTTCTGCAAAAACAAAAATTTAAGAGAAATCAATTTAAAAATCAATGTCAAAGCAACAACCTTTTATTAGGAAATAATTTACATATCGGTAAGAGACAAATGCTGAGAAGTGGAAAACATTGAAATCAAGTAATACACATAGTGAGTACGTTAAAAATATACTTCAGTAGCCTTTTTTTTACGCAGACCGAAAAACGCTATCCCGATTGTGTAAACAATAAAACGTTCGCAAGCTGAAAAAACAAAAATGTTTGATGTAAAAAAATTTACCTCAGCACCCTTCAGCTGTCGCTTATTCAGAATATAAGAAACTAGTTGCTTCAATTCGTCATCGATAATACTCTCGTAGGTTGGTGGTTCTTGCTTTCCTTTGTCAAGCACTCCGGTTAATGTGTTGCTGCACGCAGTCGTTTTTAAGATTTCGTTTGATATCATTTTCATAGCAAACTGATCGTTTTTTACAGCCAAACTCTTTATGTTGTTGGCAACTTCCGCACGTTGATTGATACCAGATTCTTTAATTGTTCCTACACATTCAACTTGATTCCCTAAGATTTCGCTGCGAAAGCTTACAGTACCAATTTCATCTTTCGAGACATTCATGTCACTTTCTTTTGAATCACTGTGAAGTTCATCTTTCACAAAAAGCATTTTCTTGCTTTTACCTATTCTCCGACCATTAATTTTATTCGAAAACAATTGTTTTTCATATGTACTTCCTTCTGCATTCTTGCATATTTCCTTTTGCTCACATCCATTTTCTTTTTTATTATCCGACATCCGTCTAACTAAAAATTTAATAATATTTTAGAAAATCGACTGATTAGAGACATTTTACGAGTCTATATTACTGCACTTGTAAACTAAAAAAGTTGGCGAAGTAACAAACATAACAATTTTTAAGAATTACATAAAATACAATTGGTTCGATAATTGTATGATTACCATGGATTATCTCGTTTTGGTTATCATCGTCATTACGGTCTTCATTTCGGTTGCCATTACAGTTGCTATTCTGAATAAATAATAGTTTACAATATAACTTTTAAATGATGAAATTATGAAGTTCAAAAAGCCCACGCGCTTACATCATATACTAAGTCCATAGCTTTGGCTGCTTCCAGATTATGAATTTTGGGTAACTTATTGTTTTCAATGTTCATTCGCTTTCGCAGATTGTAATGCCTAAAAATGAAAAAGAAAATGAAGCACAACGCACGGAACGATTTCGCTTTAACTCATCTGAAGAGAAATGAGCATATATGAACAGACATCATATTATGGCAAATATATAAAACAACCACTTCTACATCCCATCAGACATTGAAGTATACGCAAATTGAATATTTTTTTCAGAATTTTTTTTTTCTCGGTTGAACATGTTGATAGACTTATATTAATAAGAGCAAAAAGTACAAATTAACTGACCCCGAACATGCCGCTGATATAGGATTATTGTCAGAATTTCGAGAGAATTTTGCAATTTTCGACACAGATCCTGAAATAAAATATGAGACTGAATTAGCATTATACCGGATATTATTGCTTTAGAAAATGACATTATTTCAAGATCATGCGACAGAGCTTACCATTTAGTTCAAATGCATCGTAACCTAGTTCATCATTTATATCATCGTTTTCTGAAATGGAAGATTGTGATAACAAAGCTTTTAGAAAGCAGTAACATAAAAAATATAATTATTAATAAGTTTCACTATCTACCTATGACCAAGTATGGAAAGCGAATGGGAATAAATCCAATAATAAGAAATGCGACCTTCATTCCGCACTTTAGTATGTTGTGACATATGGAGTGTATGTTTGCAAAGAATTCATGCAGGCAAGAGATATATAGTTAATTAACATGTGCCGAAAAGCAAGCTTTCCCTTTTGAGTTAAAATTAAGGCATACCGCATGAGATTCTTCTTTTGAGCAGAGATGGATAGTATTCCTTACCTTAAAAGTTATAATTCAAGGTTATAATTCTTTATAATATAAATAAATAGTAGAGGCTAAATTAATGAGGTTCAAATCTATGTTTACAAAAAGAAGCTGATGCATGATACTGAAATATGTACAACGAAATTTTGAAACATATCTGTAATCTTTTCACTAGCACCAAATGTGATTATCTATAAAATTTCTATAATTTGAAAATGATAATGCGGTATAAGAATATGCAGAGAGCAAAGGAAAAAGCTGAACGAAAATTTGGTAGCGAAAAAGGTCGAAGAGACGAGCAGAGCAACCTTCTTTTTCATATTTAGTCACGACACCAAAATCATTTGTAGTGATCGAAATATTTTCCTTATATTCGATTCTGCAAATTAAAGCATTTTAAGAAATGATAACATAAAAGTAATATTTCTTTTTACTTCAATTCACTTCGAAAACTGAAAAAAAAAACTCGAAAATGGAAACTAATAATGATTACATTTTCAGTGGTCAGAAAATGGTTCAACCATGTTTCGAGAGTGGAAGACAGTTTACGAAAAGCAATAGTTTTATCATCTAATTTTGAGTTAAAAGACTTGAAGCAAAGAAAATCTTACATTTTTTGCTGGCGTCTCGAGAGTCGTAGATCGAGTTGACTTGCAATATATAACTGTTGCTCTACCGGTATCTTGGCTTCTTCGATATGATCGTACATTGCTTTACGAAAGCTGCAGAAGAAAGAGTTCACTTCCACAGTCGATAAATAACAGCAAAACGAAGCAAGTGCAATTAAACATTGTCAACAAAATTTTACTGTGTAGCAAGTGATGAGGCTGTTTTGTTCGTTTTCTGAGTGGCTTCAAATTTCTTCCATAACTTTAAACCCTTCGGTTTCGAAGCAGCTTCATCTCCATCTTGCAATCTCCTGTAAATTTTATATACCTAAACGGATTCATACTTCTTTTTTAAAAGTTATCTGCAAGGATATTGCTCGAAAAAAAATCAATTTGTGACGCTTAAAGGCAGCATGCAAAGAAATGAGATGTATCCGAAGTTCCTATTTGGCTGCTTACTCAATGATTAAAATAGAAGACTATGGCCATTTTCAATCTTAATAACATTCATAAATCTGCAAATTGAACCTACTCAAAAATGTATTCCCACATTAATCGTTCGTCGTATAGTGAGTATGCATTTCGAACAGCCATACCCAACACCACAACGAGTAAAAAGAAAATGCTGCAAGTATAATACAATACAGACTAACCATACTATAATAGAAGAATGATACGATGGACTGCGGAAAGAGCCATAAAGAGCAACAGTATGCACAAATTTTCGATATGAGAAATGAAAAGCAAGCTTACAGAAAGATTCACGTCTAACTGATCATACAGGGACTCATTCTTACGTCCGGTCACTCTCGCTTTTTCCATGGAATCAGAAACACTACTGACAATAAATAATGTTTCTAACGTACATAAGAGATGTGCCACTTTTTACTTTGCAAGTCATTTACACTCGTTTTTACGTCACGTTCATTCGCACACTCATGTTTGTTTGCATTTCTACGCTCACTATATCACCTAACGCGTCTTATAAGTAAAAAACAGTGTACGTATGGTAGTTTGCCACGAAACGAATGCTGAAAACATATCAAATGTTAATTCGAGAGACGGTACGCATTGGCAGAGATTACGAGAGATCAAAGGAAAAGGAGAAACGGTCAGCAAATTTCATAGAACCAATGTATATTTTGGGCAGGTGGTTGAGTGCTTTCTTGCGACTGTTAACGTGTAGCATGCGACGTGCTTTCGTGTCCGTGTTACACGTGAGAGGTGAGTAGGGGATGACGTGTGCGAGTGCTGTGCAATGTAGAAAAATGCATGAAAACAGGAAAAGGTGGAGTTGGTCGAATCAAATTTGTTGATACTGCAAACTTTTTTCATTCCTAACTGTTTGGTAGAACATTTGATGGGAATGATGTTATCTTTAACCGTAGAGCTGTCAATATGAGCCACTAATGTAGTTTTAACACTGGGCATTTTGCTTTTTTTTTCACTTCAAACTTTAAGTTCACTGAGAAGAATGAGTGGGCTTGTCGAAAAATAAAGTTTGTATTCTTGCACTCTAACCTTTTGGTAGTTATCACATTGGTAAAAATACTGATAATATTATAATCATTTTGTTGGTAAGTTTCTTTATGCATACATTTCTTTGTACAGATTGCTCGCTTCAGTATCTGCTTTGCAATGATGTTCCAATAAATTATCGACTATCTCACTGCCATTCCTATTATTCGTGATGAATTCTGTATGCTCAGAATGCATTATCGTGGTTTTGCTCTCTTCCTACTTCTCCGGATTTGCTGTAGGTGTCATTGATTTACAGCAGCGAAATACTAATTATAATGGTAATCATTCTCTGTCGGTGAGTTATTTTATTGATAAACATCTAAATCAAAGGCCGAGATATTTGCTGTGCAGTTGTTATTCGCATGAAGTAAGACTTGTGAGAAATTTTTCTAAAAATTAGCTGAGCAAAAAAATGATGGAAAAAAATGATATCAGAAAGTAATTTTTCTGTCAGAATGGAGTCTTCAAAGTTTCACATGCCTACCTTATTCTCACTTTCATTAAAAAAAAGTCTTTTAGTCAAATTCAGTGAAAGAAGTTTATCAACAAGCATCTCCCAAGTTGAAAAACATAGACAAGTATCTCGCTGCAATTCTTGACGAAAATAGGTCCAAAAAATCTACTGTAAGTTCCTTTACTTGCTCTACCGTGATTTAGAATGAGTGTAAACTTTATTAAATTTTTTCAAAAGGTCCTCTTTAAGGTTATCTACGGCATGATTTTACTAATTTCATGGCAGTCTCTTTCTCTACTCAAAAAAAAGCTGCTAAATGAAATTAAGTTATTAATTACTTCTGGAGTAATGCGATATCCAACTATTATATACTGCTTCTGTGAAAGTGCATCACTGACAGTGAAATTGCAGGACTTCACACTCTATCATGCATTACTAGCTTCTATATCTGTCATTGTTGTGTCAGAATTAGGTGACAAGACGTGGTTTATTGCCGCGATCATGGCAATGAAGCATTCTCGGTTAACTGTTTTCTCTGGAGCAATGACAGCTTTAATTTTGATGACACTTTTATCAGGTAACATTTTTAACTTCTGTATTTTAATTAGAAAGAAACTGTTACGTGTAAGCATGTGTTTTTTTTTGAGTTCGCATACGATATTTGCGAATATCATTTTTTAAACTCTTATTTTTTTAAAACATATCTCAAATTTTTGTTTTTCTTTCTTTATGAGAAATCTTTTTAAGCTGGATTGGGATGGTTTACTCAGGTCATGCCACGATTGTTGACTCACTCTATTTCTACTGCACTTTTTGCATTATTTGGTATGAAAATGTTATATGATGGGTATCGAATGTCTCCAACTGATGGACAAGAGGGATATACAGAAGCAAAAACGGAAATCCAAAAGAAAGAACTGCTGTTGGATTCTTCAAGTGTTTCTGATATAGAAAGTGGAGGAATTAGTGTGTCAAACCGGAGGTGATTTAACTCCACTGTTAATTTCAGAATTTTATTTTAATCTCATTTTATAATAGTCTGATCATTCTCATCCAAATTCGAGCGAAAATATCGTAGCAAATATGAAATTTTGCTCAGTAAAAAGAAATGTTATAACAGCTGGAAATTTTTATGTACTCACCTTTACCATTAGCATATTAATTTCTGTTGCAGTTCAATGCGTGCGATTTTAAGTATGATTTCAACACTTTTTTTGGAAACCTTTACGCTTACATTTCTGGCTGAATGGGGCGATCGAAGCCAGTTGACCACAATAATGTTGGCAGCACGTGAAAACATCTACGGCGTAGTAATTGGTACTGTATTAGGACACGCTTTATGTACAGGAATTGCTGTTGTTGGGGGCAGACTTATTGCTACTCATATATCGGTAAGAACAGGTAAGGATTTCAAGTATAATTTTTTGCCGTACGTTTTTTTGCAATGTATTGTTGTTCTTTTTTTATATATTAAAGTCATATAAATGTCTATTATTGCTAAAATATGCTTATACACTTACTTTCTATCCGCAATAGTATCATGAAATTCAAGTTTTATTATTAACTGTTTTAACTTATACTTTTTAGTTACATTAATTGGAGGTGTAGTCTTTATCCTGTTCGCGTTTTCTGCCTTCTTTGTCGATCTGGAATCGGAGTAAGCACGATGAAATACGTGTTGCACATAGATTTGCGGGTAATGACATTGTTTTACATCAACACTTCTATTCCTACTCAAAACGAAACTGCTTGAACCAAATGTGTAAGATCATCCTGCACCAATATTTTAAAAATTTTTCTAATATTCATTTGAGAGCAGGAATATTGTTTACAAATTTTAACATTCATTTTATCACTTTATTGTTAACTTGTTTAGGTATTTCAAATGACGACTGTTTGATATTCAACTTGAATAGCATATTGTATTATTTTCTTGTAATCTTATTTAATATCTATGAATTTAATCTATTTGTCAAGATATTATTTCAGTACAGATTATTCAAACTAAAAAATAAGCGTCTGTGCTAATTTTTGAAAATTTTCTTAGTTAACATTGTGATGGCTTAACACTGTGATCTTTTTTTCCATTTATTTATTTGACGACTTTCTTGTTTTCGGAATATTTCATTATTTCAGAAATTGAAGATTGAGTCGGCATAATCATTTTGCAGTAAGGGGTTTATGCATGCGATTATTTTGTTATCCTGTCCCTCATTTCTTTTGTTTTTTGTTCACTCTACACTTCATATTTTTTTCCACATTTTCCAATCTGTGCAAATTTCTCAAAGTCATTATGGTTTTAATCATTTTATTGAAATACAACAGTGTATCATTTTGTTATAATTGATTGCAATCTTGAACTGAAAGTATATTTTGGCTTCTTTGTTGAATATTATAAATTATATTTGTTAATAATGATAAACATTTTATGAAAGATTTCTTTGGACTTCATTATTCTTGAGAGTTACAGATCTTGCAGAAAGTAGAAAAATAATTAGCGTGGTTTATCCATTGCCGCTTTATAAGTAAGTTTTTTTATATTTTTGATTTCTTATGAAGTGACTAGAATTTTCTATGGAACTCATATGAGGCTGTTATTTCAGTTCGTTTTAATGTGGAGACTTGTCCTATTAAGGGGGTTGAAAACAGTAACAAAAACTTTATAGCTCTCTTTTTTCTGTACTGGTAAGCAAACTCCTGAACTTCTTGGATGTCAGGTGTCACTAATTAAAGAGTGTCCAGTCGTAAATTTGTGCAAAAGAGATGCTACAGTGTTTAGCATGAGTGGCAGTGACTGGCTCAAAAGATGGATGCTTCTTTTATGGCTAAATGGCATTGATTATGTACAAAGAGTGGCTTTTGCAAATGGTTATCTTTATTGGTCCTTCATCTTTTGGCTGGTATCCATTCTCTCGGCAAATAGCGCTTTTGATTTCGAGCTCAATTTTCAAAAATTGTAGTGATTGGTTTAGATACTTTAATAAAATAAAATATCCCGAATAATTCAACAATCCAACACTTTTTTGTTTTATTTCGCATGAAAATTCAAAGTCTGTGACAGAGGCTCGAATTAACTAAATAATGAAACTATGGGAGCAAAACTCCTTTCAGCATTATTACTGGACCGACAATTCAAGTTTATATGTTTATCTGTTTACTTCATGATTTTTGGCTTGATTTACCGAGTTATTATAATCTAGACTTTTTTCTTTGCTATTTTGAAATGAAATTGTCCTTTGTGCAGTACAGTTTAAAAACTTCCAAACAATACATGCTGAGAAATATTTTTCTCACGCCAATAATATGATTATATAAGGATTGAAGATTTTTGATTACGATTGTTTGAATATATCAATGATAATTGATCTGTTACACTGCCAATTACTATAATATTTGACAGATTTTGCTACCGTACATTACGAGTTGGCGTTCATTCATTGTTTATAAGTAAAAATTTCATGTGACATTAAATATGTTTATCAATTCGTATAAGAATGAGAGTAATTTATGAACGATTAATATTATCTTAATTTGTTGAACTATTATGAGAATAAAAATCAAAAAAGGAATTCTGTTAAAGAATTTTGATAAAGTGAAGAATGAAGAGCTTACTGAAGAACTGCGATGTTAACTCTGGAGAAGTCATGCAATTAAAGAATATAAAAGCTTTGATTGCTTTTGAGAGGATGTGATATTTATGTGTATCTTTTTTGTGCTTGACCAATATTTGCTTCAAGAAACATATAATTCCTATGCTAAAAGCAATTAAGATAAAATAATTGGATTTAGATTATGAAAAGAGTGAGATCAAAGATTAATGAAAAAATATATTATTTACTGTCATAATGCCCAGAAATCTTCGCTCACTGCTCAGCCCAATCCATCTTTGACAAATTATTTATTGATTTTGTTGTCTAATTCATCCTCAAAAATCTGTTTACTACATTGTCTCCAAAAAACTGCTTTTATTGTCAAACCTATTTGTACTTTCCCGCAAATTAAATTTAAGTCTTAAATTCAATTACATTATCTTTCGCAATTCTTTTGTTGCTTTTAACACGGAGATTTCATGCTTCTTGAGTAAATGCTAATAAGCACTCACAGTAGTTATTCATTTAACAAAATTTAATAACTCTAAATATTCTAATTTGTCAGCTGTTCCCTCATTACTTAAATGATTACTTCTTAGGGTCATGAATGTATTTGGCTACAGTATATCTCTCGGATAATGTAATTATATATTTTAATTCACTTTTATATTATTCTTTAATTACTTTCATTTTTCCAAATTCACAATGAAAAGCATAAATTGTCAATTTCTTCATGTGCCCTCACGATCGATATTTCCTTCTCTCTCATTCTCATGACAATTTCTCATGCAAAAATTATTTTACCACTTTTAAATCAATTTTATTATCCTTTCTCTCTTCTCATTTATGCAAAGAATTTCTGGAATTTGTTAAAGTTTCAGAATTTCTCACCATATAAAAATAGCACCAATTTAAAAATCTTTTCTAAAGCCGATTAATGATTGCGATTTTTCACCCAAATTATTCCAATTTTTCAAACTTCTTCTATTGAAGTGTTTGCTAATATAAAATATTTTGATTGTTGATAACACTTTTGACCAAATATGAATCTTTTTCACCATCCTTCTCTCTTTACTCCTTTTTCCGAAATTTCTTTCAGTTCTTTTTAATTACGCTTAATAAGAAAACCCAGGAATGTCAAATCTTTCCGGATTTAAAACTAACATTTAGACAGAGGTACACATGAACTCAGATGCTGTATATATATGAAGATAAGTGAAACTTTTTGACGTAATGAACCGTAACAATGAAAGAGACTTTAGCAAATTTTGAGGATCGGTAGAATTAATTAAGTTATTAAAAGAGACCTGAAAAGCAGTATTTTTTATTTATTAGATGAATCTGTCAGTACTCCTTACAATATGTAAATGGTAATTTCATTTTATTTTTTATTCTGTTGATTGCTTCAAAATTTTACCTTATCTTTAAATGCACATTTTGAAGCATTATTTTAAAAATTTAAATGTCAATAAAATTTTTTGAAAAATGAAATTATTTCTACGAGATATTTCAAAAAATGTAAAATGAACATTGTGTTATTTAACCAATTTCCCGTTTAGATAAGTGCTGTTGCAAAATGATGCTAATACCGCTTTGTATACCACGTTTTAAAGGGATTTGATTGCTTATTAAAGTTTATGATGGAAATATCATATTGTGAAACATTCCCTTATTGTCATCATATCCTGAAAGGTCAAATTACATGACAACTGCACAAGGAACTGTGAATGAAGAAGAAAAGAAAGGTTATTATTTACTAATCAGAAAAAATTCTTTTTTTTTTTAAAAGAAGCATTCGCATTTGATATTACAAATGGTAACATCGATTGCTGATGACAAATATGTCAAGTATTCAGGTTTGAACGGGATGTTAAAGGAATTTAGAAAAATGAGGAACAAATTTTTAATTTGATTCATTCCATTCAGAGTATATTTTATGAGTGTACAAAAAAAGACACATTATTTTTATCGTTTGCAAACGATTCATTTATTAATGAAATAACTTCAATGAAATAATATTAAATTCTATGCATTTTAAAATTTGGCAAAAACTATTGATTAGTCTTAAGCTAGATTGTTCATTTAGAAATATTTTCGATCCCTAATTGATTTTTTAAGAATTTATAATAAAAAAGAAAACCCAGAAAATTGTAAGTAAATATGGGTGCAAAGACAGAGAGAGAAAGAATTTGCTTTGTTGAATATTTCCCTTCAAATTTCAAATCATTTATTACCTATCTTTTCCTTTTTTTATCTCATTACAAAGATTTTTTTTTTTTAATGGAACCATAGGAAATCATTCAAATGTTTTGATATAAAACTGTTCGAGTTCTAAGGAGAAGAAGCGTCCCCCTTTTTAAATTCATTTCCGAAGTATCGCCTAATATACAATATTTAGCAAATGCATCAAAAAGCATCAAATTAGTAATTTATATTGTTAAAATTGGAATGATAATTAATTATGATTTATTCTCTTTCCTTTTCCTCTTTATTTAAACAATCCTAACTTATTTTTTGCTATTTACTCCGGATAAACACCCGAAGTTTTTTATTTTCATTCTTTTGGAGATCGATCCACAGTGTAAACAGTAGAAAATATGTAAGCAAGGGAATATATTTTGCCTTCTTTTCAGGACAAATCAAAAATGATTGTTCCCAAATCTTTAAAAAACTTCCGGTAATCTATCTTCTCGGGATTTTCTTGTTAATGTTATTTATTGCCTTACAATCATAAATATCGATCATGCCTTTTATTTCAATAATTTTGCCTTCCCAATGAACAGACACGAACTTTATGATAGATTTTGTTCATAATAAGCACTCAATTTATTTCCAGCAGAAATCAATGAGTGTTCTTCTTCGCTTTCACTTGCTTGATTTTTTCACAAATTGTCATTGAGTGATAGAATGTCAGTTCAACTTCAAATCATTCAACAACAAACAAAAATAGTGTAACAATATTTTCCATCCCTTCGCATTCTTCTCCGAACTTTTCTTCATTTCACATTAAAAATCACACTGTTCGAGTTATTTATATGAAATTGTTTTATTCATCGATATTTCAATGAGTGGTCGTTCCGAGAGGTGAACGAAAGAAATTTTCCTTTCTCGATTATAAGCATTATTTATGATGAAACGAGTAAAATTGACTCCATCCCTCAGAATTTTCACTCTCTGTCCTGAAAAAGAGAGAATGATAATTATTCTGACACATTCTCCAATCTCGCATCTCTTCAATAGTGCATATTTTCTTACATTAATTATTCGTTTTAAAATAAATTTGACAAGTTTTAAAAAGAATAGAAAAAATTTCCAATAAAAGCGGAAAATATGCCATTCTCTTTTATCTTTATAATCTCCACAAATAGTACAAGTTTGGTATCACATAAAGTTTTCAATGAACGGGGCGCAATTGAAATGTATGATGAATAAGATTGTTGAACACGAACTGTTAATACCATTAATTAATTAGTGGATGAATTGGTATGTGACACAATTGGTTCAGCTGGTTTCTGAGCGGCTTTCGAATTCAAGTAACCCATTTTGATTCATCTACAAATTACTGTTTGATTTAGGAAATTTTAAAATTCCAAAAACCGCATACATTGGCATATGTTTCGATTGCTCACATCCGAAACATTCATTTCAAGCATTTCAATCTGAATAAACTAAATCAAAATTATCTTTTTGCTTATCGACTAATAATCTGTATTTATGGTTTGCATATATTTTATAGAACTGTCAACAAGGCTACTTAGTCGCTCTTTGAGTAGGCTAAGCTTACTTTCTGTGCAAACATTGGCCCAGGAATTATACGATCGAATCAACGATAGTATAACCTCTCTTAAACATATTCAATACTCCAAAAGGAAACAACAAATCTATGAAGCTAATGAAAAGACGATCGATGCTTCTGCCATGACAGTTTCTTGTCCTCAGAACATTCGGAAGAGATTGTATTGTCATATTTGTTTCTTTTAGGAAAAAAAAAATTTTATTTAAAAATTGTTTTTTAAAATGATCATAACAAATGCATTAAGATGAAAATTAATTGAAATTCAGAATTCAACGTGAGAGATTCAAAAATTCCGTAACTGAGGTAATTGGAATTACAGAAAAGTTGGTCGTCGTTCACTCAGGAAAAGCATTTGGCCAGTGCCATGGCTGGAAGCAATTTTTTTACCAGAATTCTCGAATAATTCATGTATTACGGAAAAAGATTTCTTGGTAAGCTATTGTAGTGAATTGAAAATATGAATGAAATTTTTTTTCAATTTTCCAATTTTCACGATATTGTTATAAATGGGATTTGTTTGAAAATATGTTACCAATCACTATATATTCCACGTTTCGTTTTTTCAACGTTTTAATTTGCAATCATTATTTTTGATTTTCAATAAGTTCAACTAGCAGATTACTTAGAATGATCAAATCTCACGATTAACTCTTTTATTTCATTTGAAATAATTTACTTTTTACAGATTCTAAATTGCATTGGAAAAGGGACATTTAGCAAAGTATACAGAGTGTGCTTGAAACTTGATCGAAACTTTTTATTTGCTATGAAAAAACAACTAAAAAGCGAAATTTTGACAAGAAATGCCATTCAACAAGTTAAAGATGAAGCTTTGTTATATGTAAGTTTAATTTATACTCTTCCAATGCACTCAATCCATTTCCGCTTTTTGTCAGATATCAGTTTTTAATCATAAATAAAATGAATACAATTCAATAAGAAAGTTCAAAATATCATTAAAATATTTGCTTCCTGTAGCAATAATTAGACTCCTTTAAAATAATTCAGTTAATTTTCGAGGGGAAAATTTTAAATTTCTATATATATATACATGCATCTTTTTATAATAATCGTTGTAGAAAATTGACATTTTGTTATAGTTAACATGATTGGATTTGTCCAGGTAATCAAGAAAAAAATCTATAAGTTGTTACCAATGATCTTTTTTTCTATTTTCTTAATGTTCTATTTGAAAATAGATAGATAGAGTTGGAATTTAGAAGGAAAAACAACCTAATGTTAGTAAATTGAATAAATGATTAATTAATGCAACAGAAGAAGACAATGTTTTAGATTCAATTGATAGATTCCAAAGTTTTGTTATTTTTTGCAGTTTTCTTTTTAATTTTTAATAGTTTCCACTTTCATTTTGAATGTTCTACAATTTTCTATTCGAATTTTATAATGTTTTCTTCACTTCGCAATGTTTTATTCATTAAAAATAGGCAACTATTTAATTATAAATGTGAGTCATGACAGTTGAAATTAAATTGAATATAAAGTAAGTGATCATCTGTAACAGTAAAGCTATCGTTGTTTTTAATGATCGATAGAGAGGAGTTGAAATTTACATATTATTATTAAACATTATTATCATTTTGCTATAGAGAAATCTCTCGGATAGCGTGTTTATTGCGAAATGTTACGCAAGCTGGCAATCGAGAACACATCTCTTCACGGTACTTCAATATGCAATGGGTTACGGTAACTTATTTATGCTCTGGCGTGATTATGGACCTTTTGAGGAAAATACATTGAGAATATATGCTGCGGAAATTGCTTTTGCTTTAGGTTATTTCTTCATTAATGAAGTTTTCTTAAATTATGAATGATCACTAATGTCCGGTCATACTAAAATTTGCGATCATCATTATCTATTCGTTTATAGATATAGCACTGATAATTCTTACTGAAAACTGGCATACAAAAATTGAATAAAATTTAGATTAGAAATGAATGAACTATTTATTCAAGAGTAAGCAATTAGATGACTAAGTCAAGAATCAAGCAATTATTAAAACTATTCTTAATTTCCTATCCTTGGTCATTTTTACCTAATTGTTTGACCTTTCTTTGCATTCATTCCTTTATCTTACAGTCTGTTTGTTCTTATTTCAATATTCTTGCTAAAAACAAAATTAAANNNTTAAATTTTTTTTCAATATTATTTTATCTAATTGCATCATTTTTAGATTACATTCACGGGAACAATATAGCCTATCGAGATTTAAAAATGGAAAATATTGTGCTTGACCTTGATGGCCATATTCAAATTGTTGATTTTGGTTTCGCTAAAAAACTTGTTAATGGAGAACGAACGCGAACAGTATGTGGAACACTTCAGGTTTTTATCAATTTTATAATCTAATAAAGTGAATCGTTCAATTTTTTGGCATTCTATTTTTTGGCTTTTGTTAATTTGTAAAAAGAAGTGGGTAAGAATTAAATAGTTGCCATCATTTTGTAAACTGTTCCGATTTGAATAAATTAGACTTTTTTATAAATTCTGAATTACAGTACATGGCTCCCGAAATAGCCAAAGAGAAATTTTATGGTAGAGAGGTGGATTGGTGGTCTTATGGAGTGTTACTTCATATCTTAAATACAAATAGTTATCCATTTCCGAATTGTGATGTCAGTTCGCACATTGAACTTAGGTTAACATTTTACAACAAATCATAAAAATTATCGTTTTATTCTTTTTAAATAAAATTTATTCGAATTTACTAGCATCCATCTAATCGGTTCAAGTCACTTTGCTTAAATTAAAATTAAATGTTATCAATTATTACAGATATGATAGTTATAGTACTCCTTGCTCTGAACCAATATTAAGCGATCTTTTCAATAAGGTAATATTTAATGTATTTTATAGTATATTTAGCATTATAAACATTAGTATTGATTTATTTAATTAGCGACATTTTACAGCTACTGAGTGTAAATGTAGAACGAAGGATACATACATTTGCGCAAGTGAAATCTCATCCGTTTTTCGAAAGCATTAATTGGGATGACGTTGCACTGAAAAAGGTACATTTCTGTTTTAATTTGGATTTAGAGATTTTATATGACAAAGTAGTGTTTCACTGTATTGAAGTGGAGAGTGGACTCGATGAGTCCATCTGAAGGTATGCAAAGCGGAAAAGTCTTTGCAGTAAACATTTGCTCAAATGAATAAGCGTTTTTGTTGTATTATTGTGTTTATTTATTATTTACTTCATCTTTTCCAATCATCAGATCGGTTGATCAGTTAATATAACAAAATAAATATTTGACAAAGTTGAGGTAGAAGGAAAATAGAATTAGATTGAAATTAAATAAAGGGTGCATTCTCAGCACTGTCCTGAATTGACTTACTTATATTAGTCATCTTCATTTTCTTAAGATAGAGATGAAATGTTGATTTCAAATTCGCAACATAGTCATAATTCATATTATATAACAATTTTATGCAATGATGATTAATTATTCATCACAATTTTAATTTGAAAAAAGCGGTCGCACACGTGATTTCAATTTTTTTAATTCGAACTTCTTTCGACTTTCTTGAATTTGAATTTTTGAGTTAAGTGTAGGATTATCATTTTCAGTTAATACCATTTGCCCATATCGAGAAATTACGACGTTGTCCGAGCTGCAATTCTCTGTACGACAAAAGCGTGTCTGATTTTAGTGGCACGGATGGAGAAGAGAACTGGGCTGCTT